TACAATAATCAAATAAATATCATTTAATGCGCACATTATCAAAACAACGTTCATTAGAAATACAGACGACAGCGACAACAGTCAATTTTATATATTTGTTTTGCAGAAATCCAAATGATGTCCGGATAAGTCCAAATATGACGAAGAGGACAAGAAAAACAAATAAGAAAATCAAATGCAGTCGGGACCGAATCTTTTATATCCATCACCATTTACTCCAAAAAAAGACAAAAGAAGTAAAAGAACAAAATACTCATGTTCTGCAATATGGAGTGGGCGCAGTTGATTTCTTCTATTTTCAAAATAAAAGTTTTTGCCGTAATGGCATGTGGGCGTTGTGGGCGTGTCCTTTGAAAAGTTCACGTCAATTCCAAACTCTTTTGCTGATTTGTAGCCGATGTCTTCACTTTTGCTGATGGGACGGGTGGACAGACGGACATGCTTAAATCGATTGAGAAGTTAATGCCGACCAAGATTGTTTATACTTTTTGGGAGTCTCTGATGCTTCCTCCTGGGGGTTGCAAAAGCTTTGACAGCCTGAATATATCCCGCATTCTTTGGTGATAGGTGTAAAATTTGTATATGATTCAGGAAGAATTTTGATTTTTCCGATTGGCAAATTCAAGAGGATGTCTTGTACATAAAACCATCTTATGTGGCCTTTTTTGATCTTTCATTCGTTTCTATCTAATCGACTGTTTATTGTTGTGTTTAACATTAACCGTTTCACCATCCTTCAACAGCTAGTAACAGACCACACTTCCCTGCTACCATCATATACAGAATATCGCCAAATTGATACAGTCTCGCAGTTGATGTGGATGCGACGACTGATTCTGCCCATACAAGGGATTCTCAAATATGATCCACTTCTCATGCGCAGTTAGGATAAAATGGACCGTTTGAGCAGAGAAAAAGTGCTATCGGTGAGTGCCGTCTCAAAATTTTCTATAATAGAAAACGTAATTTTGCATAATAATATGTAATAGTATTCCAACTACTTATTGTTGCCAAATGTACAAGACATTAAAAAAAAAACACACAACTTTAGAATGTACACCCTCCACACGCGGTGTTAAGGCCATTTCTGGGCAAATTCTGGTTTCATGTTTACATTCTTCTCGGGTTTCAAAGTATTGATCAATATCTGCTATAAAGAGAAACTGAAGATTATTCTAATATTGCGAGAGACTCTGGTCGACGGATATTGAGTTAATGGCCAACTTGAGCCAACGATTTCCATCCTGGATGGATGGTTATGATTACAATTGAATTTTTCTTAAATTTGAAATATCTGTTTCCTTAGCTTCACCTTCACATCAAACTGACAAAGATACCAATTTATTTTTTACAGTAACAGTGTTACTAACCGTTTCGTATTTTTCATCTATAATAATTATTAATTCCTATGGATATTTTAAGATGGTACCACGTGAATAAGAAATTGAATTGATCCGTTAGTAATGCATAAAAATATAAAAAGTTATTATTGACTAGATGATTTACTGGATCATAACATCAAAAAAGAAGCGGTTTTCTGTCCAGATCGTTGTAAAACCACTTCCCAATATGGTATTGATATTCTCTCCGTAGAATTTTATAAATATGCTCAGAATTGAATTGCACAGATCCACCTAACTACTTGCCTTCAAACATATCCGCAATAGTTTTAGAACTGAGTTAATCTTGGAAAACGCTGTTGGCTTTCGAAATGTATTCGTGGGGAAGCAGAGCTATCTAAAATATCTTAGAAATTATATTTCACTGGACCGAATTAACTAATATCCACTAAAAGTCTGTGAACGACATTTGATTGCAAAATAGACCCAAGTTCCACTCCCTCGATATGTCGATCCTATATTGTATTTATTATCCCCTTATCATATTCATATTTTCGTCTGATTTGGCATCACTTTGCGGGAAAGTGTGCGAACGAAAAATTATATCAGTATTCTCTGTCTGAGTTATCCAAGTTCACCGAAGGTGAATGCCTCTTCTTTCAGAGTCATATGCAAGACGAACCGAAATTGTGTGTTTCCAAACCGTATAGATGGGTGAAAGAAAGATAGACAGAGTTGATCAAGCTATTCTTGCTAATCCCAACTATGTGCATATTAACTATGATGTTTCGTTGTGTTTCTAGCCAATAGCGATATTTCTCTTAGAGCGATGAGTATCACCCTTTTTGTCGGTTTTTTTACTTGGAAAATTGTACCCCGCGGTGTTTCAGTTTAGAGATTGACTTGTGTGGTGTTCAACCAGTGGTATCCATCATCGAATTATGCCCAATGGTTCCCTATATTGTCAGCCCATATCGTTGGCTAGAAATAAAAGGGCTATAGTACGATGTAAATCTAATCTCTCAACGTACACGACGTTACAAAAACGAAAATTGAACTTCGTTTTCAATTTTCAACTGAATTTAATGCATTGTACCGCGTTATTAATGATATGCATGGGTGTATGTGTTGATAATAATTGTAAGAATTTGTAAAACCAGTAAAGTGATCCTATAAAAAGTGCAATATATATAGATTTCATTTCGTCATAACCATCATTAGATTTATTCATCTTAAAAGCAATACTGTAGCGCGTCAAAAGCATTGCAATGCTGCTATCTTATTAGCCGCATGATTTTGTTCCGAAATGTCTTTTTAATGTGGAACAAAAAATTATTGTTGTTAGTTATCCAGAGAATAAATTCTAAGACTAAAGTCTTAAAGCACTAGCATCTAAGGCCTTCGGCTTTATTAAAAACTCTACCGCACTTGAGATTTGAACCCAAGACCACTGAGACCCTTGCCCACTCGGCCGCCCAGGCGGATCGGATAAAAAATAATTAAGAAGTTCGTATAAGTTTAGTAAACGAGAAAATCGGACCAATCAAAATCGACTCAAAATAAAAGGTTAATTAGCTACTAAAAAATTTATAATCGACATGCCCACCACCTTTATCCTAAGCAAGGTTAAAGACGTGGGTGTGTTGTCCATTCTTATAGGGTCTTATAAGCTGTACCTATTGTAACTTATGAGCAATGAGCAAAAAAAAAAAACGAAAAGCGTAGATATATTCCCAGTTTATATTGCACTACACGCGTGTGTTTCGACCCATTCGGCTTACTTTCCATATGAAACTGTTTCCACAAACTAGCAATATTTTTACCGAATTTGAAGCCGATCGACAGTTTTCTGCACCAGAAGCAGAAAAACAAAAACAAAAAATTTTAAATTTGTAGGTAGTCACGCGTAAATAATTCCGAACGCTGTCTTGAACGATGCTTGTAGAGGTAGCGCAGACTCATCCAAACAGTGTGCGTCGAAACTTTTACCGTAGAACCTCATGTTGTAGTTTATGTAGTTTATGATTATTGAGCAAAATTGAAAAATTTTTTTCACATGTTACATTGGGCGATTACGGCGAATGATTTGAACCACTTTTCACCATCGATGATTGTGTGAAATTTGAAATTGCGATCTACATATATGTGGACGTATAGACAGACGAACAGACATGCATAGATCAATTCAAAATTTAATATTTATTATGAAAATTTATCAGTTTAAGGGTCTCCTATGTACCCCCAATTTCGAAATGATGGATATAAAACGATGTGAAACACATAATTTGAGCACAGAGTTCATTTTAAGAGGGCACAGAGTTCATTTTAAGAGGGCACAGAGTTCATTTCAAGAGGATAATAATTAACAAACTATTTGTGCAAGCAATTCCGATTTTGGTTTTTATTTGACGAGTAAAAGATCAAAAGTTAAGTATGCAGTCATTTCTTCGAAGCGTTATCATAAAATTGATTTAAAGTTTTAGTAAGAAACGGACTCAACTGCAGCGAAGCAGCGTTCATATTTAATAAGGTCTTCGGTAATCCTAATCAATCGGTAGCATGTAATACGAACTCCCCCAGGCAAAGCGGAGCCAAGTCGAAGATGAGGCTAGGTCAAGACGTTCTAACGGTTCCATCGCTGACCAGAATTAGAAGGTATGGAACAATTTGGATGACATGTAATAATAATTTGGGTTTTATTTTAGAAAAGTTTCGATCAGAAGGATCATGGGCGAATCATATTAAGCGATATTTACTGTTTCAAACTGTTCTTACCGATATAAAACCCAGTTGTTAGGTTGTAACCACTTTTGTCATAGGCGTGGATCATAATGGGCTTTTGCTCTTATTGAAAATGAAAAGTTCACATGAGACACAGCATTCTTTCACGATATATAATAATATAAAAGCGAAATGGCAAATTGATCTGAAGATATTGCTGAAGAGCAACCACATCGCAATGTCTCGTTACCCTAAATATCTAAAAGCAAAGGATGCTTCTAATGGAGGTTTTTGGTACGAATTTCTGAAGATAACAAATAAAAACGCAAAACCCTTAAAGGATCTGTGCAGAAGTTAGAATGTAACTCGAAAGCATTAAAGAAACGTTACGAAAATCGTTTGGTTTTGCAGCTAGCCCTTGTCGATTGATCGGTACAGGTTCCAGGCGTGGGACTTTCGTCTTCAAGCAAAGAATGAAAAAAGTTGTGGAATGAAAAATTGCACAAGTATTTGTTGACATTTAAACAAATTAGGCGAACTTAATTATCGAACCTCGTATAAAAAGCGTTTTGCTTGCCCTCTCACGTTAATACCTTATCATAAAAAGATAAGAGAAAAATTACTCAATACGAAGTAGTTGTGTTATTCTATATTAATTTATATGCATATATAGATTTTATATCTATATTTATACATACATATAGATATATATAGATTTTTGTTTTGTCTATTTACATTGATTTCTAACTTTACTTGCTTTAATTAAACATCATCATCCTTCCTCTTGCATTAAGTTACATTTATCTTATCCTCTTGAAATTCTTATCTTTTGGGAATAGTATTTAAAAAAAAAAAAAAAAAAAAAAAAAAAAAAAAAAAAAAAAAAAAAAAACATTTCTACGAAACTCTCAGTATTTCTTTGTTACAGTTATTAGTAAATAGTTATCGAAACAAGTTAGTTCATTCATTACAATCCGTTGAAAATAGCGATAATATTAAAAAAGAATAAAAACAAAATTTATACTTGCATATTATTACATTTGCAGTAATTAACTGAATTACGGAATATATTTCGATTAAGATAGGATATGTATTAAGATGCCGGCAAGTGCTACTATCAATTTTAATGCTGCTGCTACCGCAGACACCATCGCCGCCTCCATCACCCCCGTCACCTCCGCTACTGCCACCAACACGGCAACAACAACAGACGCTGGAACGCCTGCGACTACTGCGAATGCCAATAAACATAAAAGTGCTAATTGGCACAACCGACCGCAGTCGACTGCGTTGGCGTCAGGCAAGTAAAGATTCTTAAATGAAAACGTTTGGAAAAGCGGGAATATGCTTGAAAAGCGTTGAAAGAAATTTACAAAAGTAAAAAACGAAAAATTTTAAAATAAACACAAGTAAGAAAATTGTATTCGGTAGTAACCTAATCTTTTATATCCGCCAACGTTCTCCTAAAAAGTCAAAAAAGCTAATAGAACCAAGTCTCCATGCTCTGTAATTTGGAGTAGGCGCCTTTGATTTTTTCTATTTTCAAAATAAAAGTTTTTTTCGCCTAGGCGTGTAGGCGTTGTAGGCGCGTCCTTGAAAAAGTTCGGGTCATTTTCAAATTTTCTTGCAAATTTGTAGACGATATCCTCATTTTGGCTAACGGGAGAATGTTTATCGTAAATACCACACTGCTGCGCAGACACCCGCATGTACAGACAAACAAACGGACATGTTTAGATACATTCTAAATTTGAAACTAAAGCTAGTTTCTCCACCTTATAAAGGTATTGAAAAATTAATTAAATTTTGACACTTGTTTTTATTGGGTAGGCGTGATCAAATTTTTCCATGTTTGCACGCAAATGCTACAGCGTCGTCCATGGAATATGCGTTTAAATTTTTATAGATTTATCTGCTATAATTTATGAGTAATGATCAAAAAACCCTTTTAAAAAGCAGACGTGTTCTCAGTTTACATGGTGCTGTGGGCGCCTCCTTCGACCGATTTGTCCAAGAAATCCAATGTTTCTCCCAAATTTGAAGTCGCTAACTTCAATTTCGCCGCCAGCAGAATGTTTACAACAGACATTACGCAGAAAGACATTCTTAAATCGATTTAAAATTTGATGCTGATCAAGAATATGCATAATTTGTGGGGTCCCTGATGCTTCCTTCTGGGCGTTGCAGACATTTTTACCAAATGAATACACTCTCATCCTAGGGTGATGAGGATAATAACAACTTTCGTCTGATTTCATCTTGAACTCAACCGACTTGAAACTGTCAAGGTGAAGAAACTGCGGAATAGGAGGAATGACACCCTGGAAATCATTATTCAAAATAGGCTATCTTTGCGTATCAAATATTCAATTACGTATGGTTCGTATGTAATTCCGCTTCAAACCAAGCTAGACTACCGTAAATACGTATAGAGTGTTGATCATAAAAAAGAAGAAGAAGAAGAGAAAACGTAAGTTATTAAGTTCTTAAAGCTCTTAAGGAAGTGACTGCATAGACTATTGGAAGAAAATATTAAAAAGATTCGCAGCATTTTCAATAGCGTTCATCCTTGAGCCAAAACAGATCGGTATACCAAATTCCATCAAAATATCTCGAAAATTGCGACCTGACAGTCAGCTTTAGAATCACTTGTTGAATCGGTCGCTATAATAAGAGATAAATCTTGGCTTACTACTATGAACTCAATATTCACTGTGAAGTATTGAAAATTATATCTTTTCACTGTATAAAGATTCAGTTTCCGAACGCTTATATGAGCGGGGTCCCCAAAAATTTATCCCAGCTGGACCAAATTTTTCATAGCAATTAAGAATTTAGAAATACCATTACATAACGAGCTTTTTCGAAATATTTTGTAAATCGCAATTTTTTTTTCATAAAGTAACTTCTCAAAATAAGACGTTTTATAGAAAGTGGTCGGGAGACTGGATCAATCCGAACCATTTTCAATAGCATTCATCCTTGTACGAATTTTTTTAACCAAATATCTGAATAATTGCGACTTACAGGTTGAACGCAAATCTACATAGACAAACATCAGACGGACGGACCGGCTCATAATAAAAGATAAATCTATCTGAAGCCCTTCTGAGCGTTACAGACGTCCGCACTAAAACTAACATGCCTTGTGCCACATGTAGCGTAGGGTATATAAAAATGTGCTTGTAAAACAGTTTAAAGAGTAAAAGCTGTTCTCCTTGGAACATGCTTTCCCAAACGGTCCACGAAACAATTCCTCCTCGAACAATTTTCATTCCTCTCGTTCGAATTCTTTGTTTAACAGTTTCAAAATTGCGTTTTCTAAAGAAGTAAGTGGGACTTTTCTAAACAGCACTTTAAACATTATTATTAATTCTGCTGTTTTTTATTAAAAGCGGAAATTTTTTATTCATATATTCGGCAATGACGCGTAAAAATCGAAATTTTTAAAAAACACTTACGTATTTCTTTAGTCAAAGATATACAGATGTAGTGATTTTTATTTTTATATTCAAATTCCCGCCAATTAACTCACGGGCCGAAAAGACTCTAAAATTAAATATGAAAAAGAAAGTGATTTCTTTGTTTAATACTTAAATATATGCTTAATAAACACATTGAATATATGAATGAAGTGAAGATAGCCCAGCAAGATAGCCCAAATTTTTAAGGTTTGCGCCATGCACAGTTCGAGTGCAAACACTGAAAGTATGTAATGATACATCTTGAAAAATGCTGAAAATTATCGGAAAAACGTGACCTCATTACTACATCCCCTCCTCATAGGCATACGACATTAAATTAATTATAAAAAGTTTTTATAAATTTATTCAAGTGCCGATTTTTGATTTATTTTAAAGGAGGCTAAAACCTATCAGAAACATCTCTATTCATTATTATTTGCAGGGTTTGATCACCGCAAAAATCGCCTCAAATATGCCTTTCGCGCATACATAAGATTTATTTATCAATTATAAAAAAATTCGAATAAAATGTCTGCATTTGCAAATTGCAGACAAAGTACAGTAGAGTACAAATGTCTATTTGGTCAAAAGATCCGTAACACCCAGAAGGAAGCTTTGGAGAGCTTAAAAGGCATACCTTTTCTTCCACTCAAGTTGAGAAGAAAAAAATATCTCTGGTCTTTCTTACTCCCGATAATTATTTATTTTTAATATTAATCTAATAACACGCAAGAAAATTTTTATTCGCCTTCGAGAAAATTCCCCTCGATAAAAAAAAGTCTGAAATCGTCATCACCGCAACCTTAGAGGAGCTCTGCCAAACATTCTTAACGAATTTTTAATTAGTGTCTCCTAATCACATATCAATTAACAACCAATGGAGCATTTTAAGAAAAAAAATTCAGACATGCGGATTACATTAACAACTCAACCCAAATCGTCGTGCATTCACTTCATGAGATGCAGGAACGGAACGTTTATCACCGTTCATTTGGTAGCGATTATTAAAATCGTCGCTGTTTTATTTTTTACCCTTATTAGCCACTTTTATTTCTGCCTCACCGACATCTTGCTCTCGAGATTTTTCAGGGAATTTGCGGCAACTTATTGCAATAGAAAAAAAAAATTTATCTTATCGAAAAACAAACTTGAAATAATCCCTCCATGTTTTTTGTTTATGAATTCAAGGAAAGTTTGCAAGTACCGCAATAAGTAATTATTTGTAAGACTTTGGTGACTTCCCGCCATTTTTATTAAAATAACATGTTATCTGCATAGTAAATAAAAGAGGTATTATATAATATTCAGCTTGGACTGCACATATATTTACAATTCATCAGCTGCAAAACTAATTATATCCAAGACCAGAAAGAAGATTCAGATAAGATTCTCACAAAGTATATTTATTCTTGACCAGCATGAAATGCTGAATCAATTTAAGCACATCCGTCTATTCGCGTGTCCATTGTACAACTGCGTAGTATCTGTGCTAAACATTCTCACGTTAGCGAAAATGACAAAGGCCTTTACGTCAAAAAGTGTTATTTTGAAAATAGAAAAAAAGTCAGCCGAGCCCACTCCATATTAGAGGGCATGAAATTTTTCTTATTTTGCTTGTTTTGTTTTTTCGGGATATGGGTGCTGGATATAAAAATTCGCTCACGACTGCATATAATTTTCATACTTCTTTTCAATTCAATTTTAAACTTGACATTTTCAATGAAACTTTTCTTGACTGAGGGTTGATCGCATTTAAAGGGCCTGGCAATTTCGGCACCAAAGAACTGTCAAATAAATTATTTATAAAAAATGTATTGATGCACATTAGTGCTTAACACGTGAATTTTATTTTTCTAAGATAACGGTAACCAAAATCACTAATAAGGTCTTGTAATCTGCAGCTTCCAAAATGTGGAGCATAAAATATTGAAGTCATTGAAGTCTTTTCTCCGTTCGCAACGATACGTAGATAGTCAATAAGTTGAAACTTGTGATTTTTCCCAAATTCATTCTTCAGAAAACTTCCTCTCTAGTTTTTAGTCTCATATGCAAAATTCATTCAAATTTCACGTCGTTGCTTTCCATCTAAACTCTTTTGAGTTTAAAAGAAATTTTTCGAGTTTAAAAGAAAAAGAAAAAACAGCCGAATGGACCTACGAAAATCAATTCGTTACAAATTTTACATAAAGGATACACACGACTGTATGTATAAGGAACAGAATGATTTTGATAAGTTGTATTAATAAATACTGCCTTGATCTGAAAATGTTGTTTGCATTCGAACAAAGTCTTAAAAGCAACGAAAGTGCCGTTATCTCAAAAGCCACTCATTCTTTTTTTGACATGGCAGAAACGTTCCTCAGAAAACCGTAAAAGAAAAAATTGTACAAAAAAGTACACGCAACGTATGGTAAACTTATGGAGATGTTCCGCAGCTTTAAAAATGTGGTGCAAGATGAAACGACTCTAAGTAATTTCGCAAAAACCGTGCAAAAAAAGTAATAACACAAATTGTCTCATTTGTATAACAAAAAACCGATTGAAATTAGTCTACAGTGAATATTCAGTCCATAAATACGACATATAAAAATTGAAATTGAAATTAAGAGTAAAAATCAATTTCGCGACTATTTCCGTTCCTTGACAACAAGCGTGAACGTCTATTACGAACTATATCGAAAATGCTACCATCAGGAGATATGCTACATTCGTCTAGCATAACTGTGGGGTCTGATTCAAATGAAGAATCTCGTTCGTTATTAACAGCTTCTGTTGCTTTTTTTTCTAGTTGTAAAGTCTGTTATTAGCAGCTGGGCATAAACCGACTGAATTCTCTTCTATAAGATACTGTCAGAATTGGAATTAAATGAAAAATTTTTCTAAAGTTCGTGTTCGAATGGGACCCATTTGCAAAAAAGTGTATTTGTTCTTATTGGTAGACCGTGTTATTTAAAGAGAGGATAAAAAATAACGGGTAAAAAAAGTTTCTAGATGTACTTTTTTCTTTTTTTTAAATAAGTGGGTAGAAGTTGATCAATAAAAATGTTGACATTAGTAGTCGTTGAGAAAACTCTTACGTTGTTGATCAATTTAAAGTGACATTTGCGACCCTTGCGATATATAATAGAATAGTTTTTAACAATTGATAGGACAAAACAGATTTTCAAATGTAAATCATTGGAGAATGTGCGCGTACTTTATACCCGCGTTAACGAAGTGCTAATATTAACGACTCTTGATCACTAATAATAATAATTAATATTTTGCTTCCCCTCCTAAACCAAGAGAGATCTGTTCTGTACTATTCTGTTTTCAATATTCTTTATTCTAGGAATTTTAAATTAAATTTGAGAAACAAAATGTATCGGACTGAAACCGAGGCGAGCATAACCTTTCGTTTTTTGCTCTGATATTTTAGGTTTCATAATATTCCTATCGGCTGGTCTCAATATGGCGCAAAATTTAGGTTGGAATCAATTTGCTCTAGTCTCGATTCACATTTACTTGAGTTGGTTCATTGGTGCTGTGATCGGTTGCTTGCTCTCCATACCTCTGGTAATATTGATAACGAAGAAATACATTATGGTAACGAATTTACTTAATAATAAAAATTAAATAACATAAAATAGCTTTACATTATAGGCGTCTTGTTCATTTTTTGTGTTAATCGACGGCATAATATTTATTTGTGCTCCTGCATCCGAATACGCTCTGATAGCAGCTCGTTACTTAAATGGTATAGCTGTTGGCGTAACTACTATAACGTTTCTAATACATGGAAGTGAAGTGACTGCAAAATCATATCGTGGCTATTGCTTAGCTATGGAACAATATTCGATAAGCCTTGGCATATTCATTCAAGTTATACATACATCGTTATGGGCTGAAGTTTTTTATATACATGGTGTATTTGATTTATTATTGGGATGTTTGGGTTTTGCAAGCGCTTTTATATTTACCATCGAATCGCCCATACATTGTTTGCGTCGAGGAAATGAAACGATGGCTTTAGACTGCTTGGCACGCCTAGAACGTCCTAAGGGTGTAAAATCCACCACTTACGCTTCACTCGAAGAGCACAAATCCTATATCAGGGAAAATAATAAATATGATATGATCGAAAGTCTGAAATTGGGCTTAGTGCCACTAGTAAAATTAATGCTATATCGCAGTTTAATGTTGACATTTGGTTTTTCTCTCCCTTTAACTGTAGCCGTACAGGTTGGTACTCTTTTAAGTTTAGGTCTAGAAACTTGGCCCTATATAGTTTATGCAACGTTACGCCTCCTTGGTTCACTTATAACCATCTTCACTGTCGACACTTTGGGCCGTAAATTCATATCCTTATTAAATTTAATAATCATTGGAGCTCTACTTATACCTATTGGGATATTTTTTAGTAACCAGTATAACTTTTTAGATAAACAAAAAATGGCAACTGTTTGTACGCTATCGCTATTAATTCAACTTTTCGCTGGTATGTATGCCCCCCACACATCAGTCTATGTGGGTGAAGCGTTTCCCTTAAAAGTAAAGCCCTATTTACTGTCATTATGTATAGCAGTTGAACATATAGTTCATATCATTACTATATGTGTCCTATTATCAACATCTTCGAGAAATTATCTATATCAATACTTTTTAGCGACCGGGTTAGTTATTATTTTCACATTTTTACTATTTTGCGCTGTTATACCGGAGACAAGAAAAACCTCACTAAGCGAAGCTCAAAGCCGCTTTCAAAAACTATTGTACTTAAAGCTTTATTAAAATAAATTAAAAAAAAAAAAAGTTATTATTGAAAACATTATTTGTGCGATGTTTTCGTATGTCAATTAAAATAATTAAAAGTTGTTAATAAAAAGGCAAAAAAAACAAATCAATAGAAGGAAAGGTTAACAATGTTAAAGTCAATCAAAAAAGTTCACTTTTCAGAGTTGGCAAAACAAATAGTAACTAAAGTTTAAATTAACTTAAACGAACACTTTGATCTTTTGAGAAAACACAAAAAAAAAAAGACGAAATAAAAAGTACTAATGGCGGCTGCACGCCCAATTATCATCATGTTTGAATCAATTTATAAAAGAAGATCGAACATCAACACAATCGAGTTTCGCAAAGTTGAAAACATTGTTATCGAACCACAGTGAAAAGGCTTTAACATATCGCAGATAAAAATAAGGTAAGAAAATTGTTTTCAACTTGCCATAAATCTTAGGCACTCGATAGTTAAGAACGCAATGGGAGAGATTTTACGTATAACCCCCTCAAAAATTTATGTGTGCAATGCATTATTTTAAGTATTAACTCAAGCAGCAAATTTTTGTTAACATTCTTTTTTTAATTTTTTTTTTCTATTTGCGTGTGTATTAGAATTATAAAAATTCCCCATCCCTAATTTATCTTTCTTTCACCTTACCTGAATGATATGGTATCGTGTTACCGTTATGAATAAGGACTTGTTGCAGTCTGCGTCGCACGGAACTCATTACGTTCCTTAAAGTGGTCATGTCAATCTTCTCCCATTCCGACAATATCTCAAGTTTGAGTTTCTTAAGCGTGGAACACTGCTGCAAAATATTCCCCAGAGTTACTTAATCGGGAAAGCGGGGCTTTTGGATGACCATCTCAATAAAGGTATATTGTGTGATTGAAAATTCCTTGTAAGCAATTTAGCAACTCTGCGCGTGCGCAGAATTATAATGATCTTTTTGTCGTGGTATTCACTTTGGTTTTTGCGATTAGCACTTGGTCCTCTCCGTAATAAGTCTCTTTCTCTTATTGCGTCTTTAGTAGTGCGAAGTTTACGGGTAATTTGAGAGAATATTTTTGTGTGTGAGACAAACTTTTTTGTTTTCTATTCACAATCTATTTCTCTTCTCTCTTCAATCTCTTGTCTATTACTTTTTGAGCTATGCTGAAATGGCAAATGTAACTCCTCCAGTGTTACCATTCAGGCTAGTCTGTGTACAATCCCAAAAAATATTAAATCCGCCTCTCGCGCTAACTGTTCGTGGGTGTCTGCTGGTTACCATACTCGCCAAGCCGCACAAGGTGCACATGCAAGTGTGGTCATCCCGTTCATATTCTAGTCAACTCAAAGCTCACTACCTGGAAATCCTATTGTTCCTAGTAGGGATGACGTCGGCTTGTAGGCAATACTCTCCAATATTCGCATCAAAACTGGCGCCTGGCAAATGTCTGAATAATATAAAAAAGTATTCTAGAGCTATCTCGTCTTTTAAAGTATTAGTTCCTACGGAATAAATGGCAATTTTTCTAAACAAACCATTATGGCTACAAGGATCCATAATTAAGGAATTTATTCCTCGGGATCGGCTCCGTAATACTAATTCGGTAGCTCTTCCAACCTCACGAAAAAAAAGGGAAAGGCTTCTTCAGGCGCAGAAACTCTCATTTACTAAAGTGTTAGGGGATGAAACTTAAAAATTCGCTCTACTTTTCTAAATTCAGTGAACATGGAGTTCTTCTGTTTGGCCTTCAGTGAAGCTTGGTTAAAGCTTGATTTGCATTCGCCAGAACTTTTTTACAATTCTTTCCAGAATTTCAGAAAGGATCGATTGAATCGCACTGGTGGTAGTAATGTAATTGCCACATCTGCTGCAGTACCGTCCTACTCAATTGAATTTCCTACTCCTCTCACCATTGAGTTTATTGCCATTCGGGCGAAAATTGCCAATAAGCACTTATACGTAACTTGCTCCTATATCCTCCCAAATGCGGACATCACTATTTATAAGAAACTTGGTGCCCTCATTTGTCTAAAAGTCTAAATCTACCCATATAGTTATAGTGTTGGAGAACTTAACAAATCACTTGGCGTTATAGTCATAATTCTAGCTGTATAGTCCCCACTTCTACCTCTGATCGAGCTATTGTGTCTTTTAATGAATTGTTTGATCGTAGTTTACTACAATACAACCGTACTCCTAATTGTAAAGGCAGATTGCTAAATCTTCCCGGAGATAGTTGTAAATCGTTGTCTACCTTTAGTTTACCTAAGGATCCGCAAGGCCAATGTTTAACTGCTTAAATCTCATCTTTCACACATTCCACTTGATTTCTCTGCTGGATATATCGAAAACTTACTGTCTTCGTTGTATAATGTATTAAACCTAGTTATTTCTGCATCCGTTCCGATCAACCTCGCCCTCGAAGTAGGTGCCCGCCGCGGTTTAACACGGCAATTATATATTACAAAAATAGGAAAAACAAACTTTTCAAAAAATTCATGAAAACTGCTCCTGCTAACGACTATTTTGCTTATCCTGCATGAAGGCATAGATTTAGTTGCCTCAACCACTAATACTATTGCAGATGTCTTCATTTGATAAAATCATGACTGCTTCTTAGTCTTAGATATTTTTTTAAGTTTTCAACTCCAAAGAATAATCCCCATATATCCCTTGCATGTTTCTTTCAATGGCTCTGAGTCCTCTGATGACATTGAAACCTCGGATCTCTTTGGTCAATATTTCCGATGAAATTTTTCACCAGCTAGTTCCGATGCAACTGTCAACTATCCGTATCCGGTATCTAGCTCGGCTTTGATTCCTCAAGTCAGAGTGCGACGATTTACGTGGTTTGAGTTCTCTAAAATACGGATGTCCACCTGGCCCTGACGGCATTCCATCATGTATACTTAGAACATGTTCTGTCGAGGTATGCGGTGTTATTCCCCTTGTGTTCCCGCCTGTTTTCCCTTTGTGTTGGAAGAGTAGTTTCCTTATTTCCTTTCACAAACGCGGAAACAGACATCATGTTGAGAGCCAATGAGCCATTGCCAAGTTGAGTGTCTTACCTAAACTGTTTGAGCGAATTAATACGCACCATGTAGTGTTCACTATCAAATCTTACATTTCTCCATTCCAGCATAGGTTTCGGAAAAGAAGATCAACAGTTACGGATATGCTAAAAATCACTTGCCATGTTTTCAAAGCCTTTTTTAGTGGCTCTGGCAAAGATGTCGTATATCTTGATTTAGTTAATCATAACTTATTGATCTTCAAACTCCAAGCCTCTGGCTTCAGTTTTTACTTAGCAAAAGGATAAGCTCATATCTGCATAAAAGATCATTCATGGTTCTGTTTAACTTCATCACCTCGGATGAATTTACCGTGACGTCTGGCGTCTCTCAAGGCAACCACTTAGAACCCTTTTTATTTAATTTATACATTAATGATCTCCCCTTGGTGACTCAATCCAGCCAGATTTTAATGTACGTTGACGATCTTAAACTGATTTCTTGCTTCCTTTTGGAATCGCAATCGTATCCTCTTTAAATTGACTTAAATGATTTGGTTACACGGTGCTCGTTAATGCAAGAAACTTTCTTTCTTGAGAAGGAAGTCATTCAGTACTCAGCATTCCATTGACTTACACAAGTTGGAAAACGTTGATTCGTGCATCGATTTAGGCCTTCTATTCGACCAAAGATTGGCTTTTAATTCGCACATTAAGCTCTCTTTAACTAGATCTAGGTAAGAAGGATCGTTACATTACAAAAAGGTACTACATGTGGTACTTAGTTAGACCAATACTTGAGTATGCGTCGGTTGTGTAGTTTCCTTCCCATAGGTGTTATGTAGATTCAATTGAATTTGTTTATTTTAGCTTGGGATCTGCGTGTCTCTCTTATGAAAATAGATTGCTTCTTCTATCCTTACCGTCACTTGCGAAACGTAGATTTATTCTTGATGTCTCCTTCTTAATTAAATTAATTAATGGTACTATCGATTCGTCCGCATTACTTATTCCAGTCTATTAAATTGTTCTCTAAGAACTCAACACACGCCTGCGTATTTTTAACTTTTCCCTCGCACCACATGCAGCCCATATCGTAGGACATCAACGGCCATGGTTATGCTTGCAACACGTTAGTCAAAGATGTCATACATCCTCGGTCAGGTCCGTCCAAATTAAAGTTTTTCTCAGCATTAAATGTAATATTTCCAAACTCTTCCCTTCAAAATTTGTATTTGTCACCAAACGCATTGCGGGCATTTGTGTGGCGCTGAATTAAGGATGGCTTGGCAATTTCGTGTTCATATCTAAGACCTATATCGTCCCTAAGCAATTGCTGCACACCCTGTTTCCTTGCATTTAGGCCAATTCATATTTTCATTAGTAAATAATTGTCGAATACGCACCCAGGTCCTGTGATCTACGGTTGAAATGCGTTCACTGCACTTAATGCAGACAGGACCTTTTAGATAATGTGAGACCGCATTGCTACACTTATCTCGTCAATTTTTTTTACTAGCAAGCCATATTCCTTCAATTTTCCAACGCCCCTGCTTAAGTTACCGTCTTACGTGTGAACGTCTTACGTCAGAAATTTCCTTTTTTTTTTCAATTATAAAGACGAAACGCAATTAAAATAATTGGTATCCTCTACCTTCTACTGCTACAACAGATCTATGAAAAAACTACTCGACAAATATTTTCCTCTCAAGGGATGTCTCGTATTCGCCCCTTTGTTTTATGTTGGATATATTAGGAAGTTGCAAAAATATTGGCCTTGGCCAAAATATTTCCATTATTTTCTGCCACATTTTACCATATTTTTGGTAATATGACCATATGGGATCCAAAGCCCTTATATCGGTTCTTTGAGAGTTTGAAGTGGCTTTTCGTCCGATAAGTACGCTAATTCTTTGTTTTCACGCTTTTTTGATCCTCCAGGCCGTTTTTTGTCATTGACATCAAAACTACCACTTTTACATCGCTGCAGCGAAAATTGACAACTGGCATATGATGGCGAAGCGCCACGATAAGTTTCTGACCGTGTTTGAATGCAATTTTGAGCGTTCCATGATTAGCGTGTGCGTACGGTGAATAAATCAATAATAGTAAATGGAAAACTATTATTTTATGTAGAGTAAGATCGCATTCCATTGTTGTGTATCCTGGTATTTTCCATTTGTTTATCAGTTTCACCTATAGAAGGCGCTGGCCAAAATTTTTGCAACATCCTAATGAAAATGTCAGCGATGCAACGACGATAGAAAGTTTATTTTAACGTAAAAGCGCAAACGAACTTGTTAAATTTCAACGGTACTTAACTTTCGCTTCTATCGACGTATAACAAAAAAGTAAATAAGTGTATAGTATGTCTCCATGCTTCTGTCTATGAAAAGTTCACAGTACATATAATAATTACTTATGGCGTCTTTAAAAGATCCTTTGGTTTGTAGTGTTCGGTTATTGTTTTATGTCGTCTAATAATGTTTCAAGGAATTGCTAGTCTATTGAAAGGTTTTCATTCCATCATTCATTTATTATGTATATAAAGCAGTTATCGCATGCAATAAAAAAGTGCACATGCTTTTAAGAATGAATTATGAATATATCAAATGAAAGACTTTAGTCATTGTTTCGCTTTTGGAGAAATCCGCTAAAGCTCCCTTGAAGTTTTTAAATCCTTGACACCAGAATTCTTCGATAAACTTTTTTTTCTTAAATAAATTTAAGTATTTATGTCACACTAACTTGCATATTATATTAGATTTAATTAATTGTGTTTCATACACACTCACTGTCAGCAGTAAACGGATGTACTTCTATTCAAAACCATTCTATTCATAAACAAACAATATTACAACATCGTAAGGGTATAGAAAATTAAACATAGAAACCAATGACAATAATGTCGGAAAAAAAAAAAATAAAAATAATAATGAAAAGTATAAAAATTTTAATTATTTTTTCTCTACATAAACAAAAGAAAAATCACCATTAGCATATGTCAAGATAATCACTAAAAATATTTATTCATTAAAAACCAAACAATGTCAAACTTATCTTAAAGGAAAAAAAATTAGAAACAATTCAAGCAGTTAATGCAACAACAAAAAGCTACCACAAATAATGGCAATAATCATTTTGATCTATGCGCACAAAAGAAGTACAGCAAACACCACATAATTGTTTTGTACTTACCAACCCAAAAAGCCTCGGCAAAAGTCGAACTTGCAGAGATATATTCCA